AATCGCAAGTGTGCATTGGTGCGTTTAAGTAATGGGAAGGAAGTATGCGCTTATATCCCAGGAGTCGGCCATAATTTACAGGAACATTCACAGGTTTGTTTTTCTTTCTGCATACATTTTTCTTTCAGGTGGTGCAGTCATTATGTTTCTATTTCAAAGTTGGTTCATTTCTTACTAAATAACATGATGAAGCAGTACAGTTATAAACACATTTTGTTCTGCTAGAATATTCCAGAGATTTCATTCTTTTTTCTGACTTAAAAGTATTTCAAATTCTGAAAAGTGAATAAAAATTTTACCTGTAATTCTCTGCTTTGTAATATTTTTGATGATGTAGCCTGTTTGTAATTTTACCCCACATACTAGAGAAAAAATTACAGGTAATGGTGCGGGGTGGACGTCGGCGCGATCTCCAAGGTGTACGAGCAGAAATAATACGTGGTAAACTTGATTGCGCTCCATTACGGAAGAAAGCAAAAAAGGCAGCAAAATAATTGAAAGCATTCTTGCTGTGTTTCTTGTAGTTATTATGTTAATTCAATGCTTCTCGCTCTTCTGCAACATTTGATTCAATATTGTTGAAATTATACGTGATCGCATTTGGCAATAAAATTATACGTGTAATCGCCAAAACTCTTCATTAATATCACTTGAACTGATTCATTCTATAGCCGCCTCCATGTCATTTTTCTGTCTGAGTCGTCATTAGCGTTGACAGATTTCAAACGTGAACGTTAAAATAACCAGATCAGATGCTCAGATATATTTTTTAATACGATTGGACTGGCATCAATTAATTCTCATATCGCATGGTATGTTAGTTATGGCCATTCTGATAAATTTGAAACATCCATGCTAAAGCCAACGATTTATCGAAGTTTGACAGAGCAGAACTGCTTAAATTTTCGTATTTCATGCGTATGATGACAACGAAAATTGACGACGTCGATGCCAATAACAATAGACGGCAACTAGCTAATCTTTGCAAGACATCACACTATTATGAGATATCAATCGTTTCCACTGTGCTACAACTCGTATACACAACTCTTCCACGTTTTAGAATGGGAATATTTTCGGATTATTGGGAAATTTTAATACTTAAAATTCGGAACTTGCTAGTTTCAAAACTAAAACTAATTAACCGAAACAGGTAAGAGACGTAAATCATTTTGTTTTGAGTGATTCAAAAAATTGCGTTTTCCAAAAACTTTTCAAAGACTATCTATTAAACAGAACTTTCTACTGAGTTATATATAGCAAAAATGAAACTCAAGTCATCAATCAAACAGCTTTGAAGTAGTGTCTTGAAATATGACGCACGTAACCTTCATGTAATTTATTCACGAAGAGCACTGAGTGGTATTGAAAGCCATTAACTTAGAAGTTAAAATAAATGAAAAAACCACAATGTAAATTGACTTCTGCTTCATTCGGAAAGGGAAAATAAAATTTGGTAAAAAAGACAAAGGTGGCAACAAAGCTCCTGAATTACTGACATGACAGAAAAGATAACATTAAGCAACATTAAAACCATTGCGTGTCACATCTCCGTTCGATAATTCCGAACTTCGTAATTTTTCCATAAATTCCGGTCGAATTGTCAGCTTCTTTGATTTTTCCCAAGCAAATAGTGATTTCCCAAAATGTCCATTGCGTGCTGTTTCCTTGTAGATAGGTTTTAATAAATCCAGCTCACTAAAATATGCTTCCGATAAACCAAAGATCAAAAACCCAAAATATTAAAATATCAATTTGTAAACATTAACGAATCATTTGACTTTGCATGGAACGACTTTGTCCAAATTAATATAACCGCAGTCCGCTTCAAGTTAAATAATACTAAGTGTGATGAATAACATATAATTCATTGAAGTATAAATGTAATGCTGAATAATAAAATCGTTCTTTTCCCATTCAATTATTACTCAGACCATAAATTTAATTTCAACATCGAACAAAGTTCGTTTTTTTTACAGTCTCATCAAATTCGTTTATTAAGAAAGGCAATTAGGAACTGTACCGAATGATGATGCCCGGTCGAAGATCAAAATTGTCATTCACAATTGTTAGCAATTCATCTTCCGTCAAATTGCTTGTTCCATAGTCGACAACTGTTATCGAGAGTGGCTCTGCGATACCAATCGCATACGACACCTACAGAAATTGCTAACAATTTATTGCTTGTTACACAGAAAGAAGCTGAATTTCGGATTTTGGTCTTCAAAAGCCTAGTCAATAAAAACCGATGCTGCGCAGCAAAAAATTAAACAATTGCTGTTTTTTCATCCTCATTAAAACGATGGATAAAGAGTACCTGAATCAAGCAACGCCTGCAAATACCAGCATCCACAAGTGATTTGGCAACCCATCGGGCACCATAAGCTGCCGAACGGTCCACCTAAGCAATTGGACATATAGCTAAATATTAAATATAAATATAAACTATATATAAACTCACAGGCCTTCGAAAAAAAAATTAAAAAAAAAATATTATACCTTTGTTGGATCTTTACCAGAAAACGCACCACCACCATGAGCGCCCCAACCACCGTACGTGTCCACAATTATTTTACGACCAGTTAGGCCAGCATCGCTTCGAGGTCCACCAATTGTAAAGTTACCACATGGATTTAAATAGAACTTTGTAGCCGTATCCATGAAATGTTGTGGGACTATTTCCTGAAAAGTTAAACAGACTCATAAGGAACTAAATGATAAATGAGCAAAATCACTGAATAAATAGAGTATATTAGAATTCATTTTTTATCATTAAACTTGCATAATTTTATAGCAGAAGAATTTTATTACTTGTAAGTCAACAGATAATAGTAAAGGGCTAACAAATTTCAACAAATAATGATAAAGCGTCAAAAATTCTCTTAAACAAACGGAAAACTTATCAGTTGTCCAGGACTATATGGCTATTCAGTTAATCTATAAATGTAAATACACCAAAAACACACGTACAACATAAGAGTAATTTTTATCTGCCTTTATGAAAGAAAAAATATATAAAGGCTTACATTTATCACATGCTTGATTAGATCAGTCCGAATTTTTTCCAACGAAGCGTTAGCTTTGTGCTGCGCAGATATGACAATTGTATGAACTCGAATTGGTATACATGCTCCACATGCAAATTTGTACTCCACTGTTACCTGAATTATAACCGCAAGTTGAAAGGAAAAAAAAGTACTTAACGACTGATAAGAATTGACAAGAAAGTTTTCTTTTTCTTAATCGCTCTTTCAACAGAACAATCTTATAACTGTTATCTGAGTTGTAACGATAAACTAAAAAAGAAAGAATACTTTAGCTAATGACAAGACTATTCTGTTTAAATAACAATTGATGAAAAGAAATCATTACTACCTAGATCATTTTTCATTAAATTCTACAGGAACGAGAGATGTTATGTAGCTTTGCTTTGACCATAATATATACTGACATTATATTTATCCAGTTAACCAGGAAAATATAATTGTCACATTTACTTGAAAAAGTTTCAAGATATTTTACGTATGTTCTTTATTCCTTTAATTCATCTCTAAGTGGACCGTTCTTTCATAAAGCATTTCGACTATGAAACATACCTGAGCTGCATCATTCAGGTATTCTTTTCACCGATTTCTTGCTGTTTCCTAATTCATTTCTCATACTGTTGAAAAAAAATAAGGAAGTTTTATACAGTTATAAATACCTGCGATTTGGAGTCAGGTAAAGCCCATTCAAGAGTACCATTTCTTCGCAGCTCATGAAGTCGTGCTAGCAATTTATGGGCTAGTAACAAAGATAGTGGCATGCGCTCCTCTGTTTCATCCGTTGCATAACCGAACATTAGTCCCTAGGATAAATTTCGCATGGAAACGGAAGAAATCTGAGTTATTTCTCATTTAACCCTTTCAAATCAATCATAAGTAAAGAATGGAAGACCATCCATGGTTAATAAACTGGCAAAAAAGTTGCGGGCAGCAAAGAACTATCATCATAACTGATTCTAGAGAAAAATTTTTCAATGTATTCCATTTTTCTTTTAATAATGAAATAAGCAATTGTAACAGTCGCATTTATGCCATTACTGGTGATAATTTTCAGAAAAAGAGAGATAGGTAATTTAGGTAAGCTTCATGACATAAAATTTATGAGAAAATGGTTCGAATGCCTTCTAAACAGGATTGCAAGAGTTATTGCTCTACATCGAAAATATGAAAGAAACAATTTTTATTTAAAAGAAAAATAAACAATAAAAAGGAACTAACCTGATCTCCAGCACCAATTTCTTCCATTTTTCGATTCAAATGCACACCAGCTGCTATTTCAGGTGCTTGCTGTTCTAATGCAATTATCACATTACATGTTTTATAATCAAAACCTATAACAACGAGTTCTGTGGCTAAAGCATATGATTAAAGCATATCTCCAGACCAGTCATTCTAGAATATCATGCTGCCCTCCACATAGGAAAGTACCTTAATAGTCTCGAGAATCAGTAAATTAGAATACCGCTGTTGACAAAACAACAGAAGTCCTATAAATTTCTAATAATAGACCCTTGCAGGAATCGTCGAATCCTATTTGTTGCACTGTATCCCTAACGATTTGATAATAATCAACATTTGCATTAGATGTAATTTCCCCACACAGCATCAACATGTCCGTTTTGGCTACCGTTTCTGTAAGAAAGTAACAACTTTAAACGGACGTTAGTTTTAGCTGTTTTGAGGAAATTAACTTAATGTGCCAAGCCCGTGGGAGACTGATCTGAAATAACAAATGATCAACAAGGAATAATCAAGGAGCAAAAGTATTACTTTAACATTACTACAAATTCATTTCTTGTTTTCTTGGGAAATAACGTGGCTCTCTGTCAAATCCAATAAACTCTCACAATTAGTGCACAAGTAAGTCAAACTACAAAAAATATGAAATTTTTTAAAAACAATATTTTAATATGCCATCTGAAAAAAAACTGTGATTCGATTGTTCAGATACCGCAGGCAACTTTTGCGTTTGGATCCTGCGCAAGATGGGCATCCAAAACGGCGTCCGATATCATATCGCACATTTTGTCCGGATGACCTTCGCTTACCGATTCCGAAGTAAAAAGAAATCTTTGGTTACGAAACAATTCTGAAAACAAAATAAAATTTCGAGATTATAGAGTTAAAATCACTCTCAAGTGAATATAATTCAAATTATGGTTGTATCAATTTGTCAAAACTCATCATTATATTTTCATAAAAATAAAAAACACTGGCAAAGTTCATGGTATTTTTGAAAGAATTCCAATAAAACATATTTTCAATACCATGCCTAAAATTAAAACTATCCATTACTTTATATTACCATATCTTTGTATCACATTATATGTTGCTGACAAAAAATTTAATATTATTTCACTAACTAACCAGAAGTATTTCGATGCATCCCGAAACCGTCATGTGCCATTTCTTTTCAACTTTCTTTTATTTATTCCTCAACAAAGAAAGTTAGTAACTGCTTGATATGGACGGAAAGCAAATACAATTGATGATACAATGTCAACTGATAGCCAAATCTGCTCTAAAAATTCATTGATAAAAAGAAAAAAAAATTTGGAAAAATCGGCAGGAAAAAAAAACGCAAACTCCTTGTCATATGGATGTAAACAACAGAAAGTGTTATCTCACATAAATTGGTAATATATTTAGTGAAATCAAATGCCCTTTGATACATTATTAGAATCAATCAAAAGTAAAGTTCAAAATTAATGATAACGTTCACCAATTTATATGTTATATGTAAATTTACTTTTTTCATTCATAAGCTTATCCCTTCCTATTCACTTTATATATATGAACTTACTTTTTCCTGTCTAACCTTGTAAACGTACACTTTTCTCTGACCACTTTATATGTATAAGTCTACTTCTTCCTAAATTTACTCATTTTTTATAAGTAAACTTGTCTTCACCTCCTTCTCCCCTTTCTAAACTTTTCCCCCTCCTTTTTCTTTTTTATTCACTTTAAGCGGAAAAAATGCCATAATCCAACAATATAACCGCCTTTTTAGAAACCGTTATAATTGCTTTCACACAAAATGTGGTGTTGCAAACTTTCGACAACTTTCCCACTTTTCCTTTCGTTTTCTTAGTACTAAAAAACTATTATTATCTAAAATACACATATCAGTTTCATCCTCATATAAATAATTTAAAATTTTGTTAGAAATTAGAAAGAGAAATCCAATAATAAAATTCATTTAAATAACATATAAATGAAATATGCAAAGATGCAAGTATTGCCGGTTAAATAGTATAAAAAACAATATCCCACATACTATGAGAAGATACGACCATATCCATCGCCTTAACGGGCTAAAATTATAATTGAATATCAAGTATGGAATTATAGAAATATGCTGTAATCTTTTACAATAATGAGATAATTTTGCACAGTAAAAAGAAAAGAAAGAAAAAAATTAATACTTTGAAATTATATCAAAAATCACGAAGAGAAATTGAATTATCTCTGTTAATTATGAGGAAATAGGTAAACACAAGCAACGAAATTAGAACTGAATAAATTAGTGAATATTTAAATAAATCAGGTAGTTCGATATTGTTTTGGAATTACTGAACGAATTTGAAATATCTGCTGGAACAAAAAATACGAAAACTTACACTACAAATCTCACAGTGCTCTATGGATCAGTACTTCATATTTATAACAGATGAACGAATGTAATAATTGTTAACGAAGGATTACTGCTAAATGACTGACGTCACATGATGTAACTGAAATTTACAAAAAAATAAAAAATGCAACTGATGTGAGAAAAAAAAGCAAGAAATAAAATAACAAAGATAAAAATGAATGACACAAAATCGATATGAAAATATGACAATAGCATAAAAATATTATCAAAATAAAAGCGGGTAATATAGAAAGTAATGGAAAATATGGAAAAAAGTAATAATATAAATAATACAGAAATGATAAATGGAGAAAAAAATAAAAGACTGAAGAAAACAGATCAATAGTTTAAATTAAATCATATTACATAAATAGTTGAAAAAATTACAAAATAATAGCAAATCACGAATGCAAAATGAAAACACCAATTATCTTATCATAGCATTACTACAGAGAAAAATTGCACATTCTCATTTGCAAATGCTAATGATTACCATAAATATATCAAGATTTGGTGAATAGAAAATGAAATGAAACGAG